TAAAAATCAAATAGTACAACTTGTGTGTATTGGCTGTTTGAAAGTTATAATTCTCTTCATAAGTAATACTTAACAATATGATTTATTTGGATTAATCATCAGTTATAAAAGTCAGTTATAAAAAAATGCAATAAAGTTATTGCAATATTTATATCGTATCTATTCGCAATATGCTAATATAATAAATTAACCTTAAAACAAAATATTTCGAATCAGTTTCTATAAAAAGCTGCAAAAATATTTCGAATCAGTTTCTATAAAAAGCTGCAAAAATATATCTCCTCCAATAACTTCTCTTGTTTAGATTGACTAGTTTAAATTGTCATCATTTATCATCATTTCAATTAAAACAAAAAACAAAAAAGTATTTAGAGGAATCGAAGAATAAGAATTAATAAGAATTAAAATGATAAAAAAATGTGAGTAAATCACAGAGAACAGAATTTTATTTTTATGTTTTAATTCATTAAAACATTGTTATTTTCATTGTGTAATTACAATTTATTTCAAGTTTGAAAATTCAACTTATGTATTTTATCTCAACTATTTTGAGATCAACTATTTTGAGAGTGATTTAAAATAGCTATTTCTAAAATTAAATGAGCATGAAACTGTCGACACTTTATTTACTGAATCCTCAAATAAATCGCGATCGATTAAAAATATGAGGAGATGCTTAAACAAAGCAGCTTTATAATGACTGCAGGACCTTAAACTTTATTCGTTTCAGTCTACGGATCGAAATAAAATATTTAGTTTTGGTACATTGAGCAAATAGCGCAAATGATTATAAATGTTAAAAATATATAGAGCAATGAAATGATAAACATGATGTCAATTGTTGAACTCAACCACATTGTTATTTTCCATAAGTAACTACGGCAAACAATCATTGCGCCAATTAGATAGATAGATAGATATTTATTTTTTATCTTTCAGCTTTGAAAGGGGCATTGCGCCAATTAGAAAACTGCAATTAGGAACGTCACGAGTAAATAAAGTATAATCAAATCTTTTTAACTTGAATGCCAAAGAAACAGATAATTCAAGTTCTGAAAGTACAAAAAAAATTTGATTTATAGAAGTTCAGACATCATTTAACATTAACACACATTATTCGTGATATATATATATATATATATATATAAAATCATGTACATTAAAAATAAATTGAAATATCTCAATTCAATATCTATAACTTAACAATCTTAAAAAAAGACTATTATTAATTTAATAATAATTTTAAAAAACTTTTTATATTATAACTCTCAATAATATAAATAGATAGTTTGTTACTTCAATTTTATAGTCAAAAAAAGGGACTTGATTTATAAATATCTTCTTAAACATACCCATTCATCTATATCTTTTATTAACCAATTTTAATCTATTTTCCTTACTATTTCTATAACTTTTATTATTTTGAATTTGCAATAAAAAAAAATTTATTTGTTGTTAATGTTTATACCTGTTTATGTGTATACCTAATGAAAATTAATAAATAATTATTTTTGCGTTATAAAGACATTTTTTCGAGATATGGAAATCAATTTTAAAATAATTTGAATTATAGAAATAAATACCTTCCCTAATAAGGACGTCCTATTAGATGAGCCAGATATCCTGAGGATTAAGATCCTAAAACATAAACAGGATCTGTGGACTTGTAATGAGCGCCTCATTACGTCCTCGAGACGTCCTTAAGACGTTCTCCACTCAGCCTCAAGCTATTCTGAGGACTTTCTTAAGACGACTTTAGGAATTCAGGATGACTTCAGGGATATCCTGAAAACGATCGCGATTTCCGATATTAACTGTTAGTACTGAAAATCTACATGACACACCTTACGGAAAATAAGTGAAAAAAAAAATTAAAAATTAAAAAAAAAGTGATGAAACATCTTTTATCTTGTATCATCACATGTTTTTAAAACCAGTCACTCATATATTTGGAGATCCTGCTTGATGTCGCTTAATCTCTGTATTGGGATGAAATCTGCTATCGAAATGATGAAATAAGTGATTATATAGGACCTCGACTTAAAATATGATAAATCTGGTCAATGAATGTTACTATATTGTCATATAAATTTTATTTCTCGATTGCACATGTAATTCTTGTAGATAATTTAATTACATATATAGAACCGTGAACTTATATTATGTTTAATGAGAATCATTTTCCTTATGAAAATTGTTGTATATATATTTGTATATATATTTTGCTTACTTGTTTATGAATTTGTTAATAATTGTATTAAATATGGGAAATATTTTTCTTATTTATATACAGGGTATCCCAAAATTCCCGCATTTGGAGTACATTACGTGATTTTTTATGCTAAAAGAAACAATTTTTTCCTTTAACAAAATTGCGTGTGACGAGTAGTTTTTACAATAAATCAAATTAAAAGTGACGAATGAGCGCGCGTATGTGCATAGCGATCAGGGTCGACGCGCGTTTCTCAGACCTGATACCTAATCTTTGATGACTTCACGTACTATATTATTTAAATAAAAATTAACAAATAAATATTGTTTTCATCCTTTACCGATTTCATAAAAAAATTGTCTGATTTCGTAACATTATCTCGAAATAAAAATAAATGTAAATAATATAGTGTATGAACATTTTATTATTTTAATTATAATGCGCAATTGCATATAACAATTAAAAAAATACTGAATTTAACGAATTATTTAGACTTCGTTAAATTTTAAATTTTCGTTTAAATTTTTGTTTTAAATTTTTTGTTAATTTTAATTATTCGTTAATTTCTTTTTTTTCATTTAATTTATTTTTTAATTATTTTTTATTTTGGAAGATTTGCTATTAAATATATGTCGAATCATGCTGGAAATGCTCCAGCTTATGCAAGATAGTTTTATTCACAAAGTCAATGCCTGCATACAAATAAGAGGATTGCACTTCGAACATCTTTTATAAATTTAAACTTTTAATCAGCCCTTTTCAAACAACTATTATTATTAAAACTTACTTGAATATCTCAGTACATCACAAATGCTTACGAATTGTGTTTTCTACTTTATTGTTTTAATCGTGTAATCAATAGAATGTTTTCTTTTAACGAAATATGTAACACTTAATAACGAGAAATTAAACTTTTAAACTTTTTAACAATTATAAATAATTTAATCAAATTGTTTTTTATGAAGGAAAATTTTTTGCAGAGCATATACGCAATATGTATAATACTTTAAATATGATTATTTCAAAATATTTAAAATATTTTTATAATATTTTTGACATATTTTTAAAACTTATTTACATAATGTTTAGATCATAATTATCAAAATTATTTATTTTATCAAATATAATTTGTTATACTTTTCTTATTTAAATAATTCTAATCTTTTACAATTTTTTTAACTTTGATACAAGATATTAGATATTAGAAATAATTTGATACAAGATATTAGAAATAATTTTACACATTTACGAAATATGTGAAAAAATTTCAAGATATCGATACAACCGTTATTTAAAATTTTATGAGATTAAGTAATTATTGTAATATTATAAAGATAAATATTTTTGTATAATCTTTTGTTAATTTTTTTTGAGAAAATAAAGAGAGAACCAGTTTTCTCAAAATATCTTAAATTATAAATTTAAATATTTTATCTTTAAACACTATTATGAAAAAATCAATATTTTGAGTTTTCGTGATTATGTACTCACATAATTAATAAGTATTCGTTAAATTCAGTATTTTTTTTATTATCATATGCAATTGCGCATACGACAAAAAAAATTAAAATAATAGAATGCTCAGTTCATACACCATATAATTTACATTTATTTTTATTTCCAGATAGTGCTATGAAATCAGACAATTTTTTTATTGCATTGTTACGTAAATAATGAAAACAGTACTTATAACTGTATTATATTTTAAACAATACAGTACATGAAGTCATCAAAGATTAAGTCGCCGGCCTGAGGAACGCACGCTAGCCCTGACCGCTACGCACATACGCGCGCTCATTCGTCACTTTTAATCTAATCCACTGTAAAAACTGCAAAAGAAAAAAGTTGTTTCTTTTAGCAAGAATCACGTAGTATACTCCAAATGCGGGAGTTTCGGGACACCCTGTATTATAGTTAATTAAGAAAGATAGTAATTAATAATGTTTCATTATTTATTCATTAAAAATATATAAAAAATGACGATTAAATGAAGATATATTTATGGTGATAATATTTCGTGACAAATGTTATATTTATTTTACGTCATCATTTAATACACTGATGACGAATGACCTTAAATCACCGTCATAATGACGTCATCTTGCTACTTGGGTCAAAATATGTTATTATGGTATTTTCAGAATACGTGTCAGAACTGTATCAAGATAATGTCAGGATTATCAACAATTATTTATTAAAAATGTGTTATACATAAATGAATCAAGCTTTATTAATTATAACTCGTTAGTTATACAAAACATAAAAATTCTCATTTTTGAATATATAAAATAAAATATAAATATATATAACATAAATTATAAACTCTTTAACATAAATAATATTTTTTTGAAGATAATTATTTTTAAAGGAACTTTACATCTTAATATATATGTATAATATATACATATATTATATATATATATATATATAATATATATATATATATATATATATATATATATATATATGTCATAGAAATGAAAACATTTTAAAAACTTCTAAAAAAGTAGCAAGAGCTTCTGGTCACAGTCGTTACTGTTGGTCATTCATCATTAATCGCGAGAAAACAATACAGTCCCCGTATATATTCTCGTTTTCTATAAACATTTTCTATATTTCTAAATTATTCGACATAGGATATCTATTCAAAGAAAAAAAACAGAGATTGACTGTTCTCCCTTGCGTCATTCGTCGACTCACGCAATTCCGCGAGTGGGAGAGAGCGAGAGATACTCTCTCGCCATTCGCATATGTGCGAACACTTGGACGTCTATTTATACATACATACCTTCGTGTCATTCACGGGACACCGAAGACGATCACACTCGGAACGTAGAGATCAGCGTGGCGAGTACGTCGTACCGGGATGAACTAGACAGCATCCGTATCCGACATTCATCGAGGGAGAAAAGACGAACGGATTCCTCGGTGGTCTTTCGGTGGACCGGATGCAAGTGCGAACACGCGTGCGCGTGCGCGTGCACGTGGCGAACGGGCGCGATAATTCACGGTTTAAATCACGGTCATTCCACTCGCGCACGACCTTGTACGAGAAACGTACAAAAAGTGCAGCAACACAATAGTGTACGAACAATTCCCACCTCCATTCTCGTGTCGAACTTCTTCTCCTCCCTTCCTGCTTTTCCTGTTGCCAAACACAACACTGAAAAGCCTAGAATTTCGTTTTTTATCGGAGGTAACAAAGAAAATCCACTCTCAAATATTCTCCGCTCTTCCCTTCTCTTTTTTTTTCATTCCCATCTCTTCAATTCTTTTCGGAGAACTTAAAATTCTTCGGAGTATTGTCTACACGCGTCGGCCGGCGTTCGATTGTGTCGACTATTTTCGTTTAAAAATATTGCGATTCGATTTACGCACGACTTCACTCCTCGCATCGCGAGTGTGGCAACTTCAAACGACACGCACCTCGCAGCCAATTTTACGCTTTCAACAATCCCTTTCGCCGTACTATCGCACCGTGCTATCGTAACGTGTAACGTCGCGTGAACATCGCCGACGATGAATGTGAATCACGTCGTGATGTTCGATAACGAATGCGATATAGGTGCGGTCGCGCGATGTCTCCAACGGAGAAGATTAACCCAACAATCGATCGATTTACTGATCCCCGTGACTGAAAATCCTTTTTCCTCCGGTTTTGCTCTGGCTCGCGCGCGCGTTCACGTTCACCTCAATACAGAACCGGGTCGAGCAGGCGTGACTCACACCGGTCGGACTTCGCGGTCGACGGACGCGAATTTTATTGTGCTCCTCGCCTCGTCCCGATTTATGATCGCAGCGGCGCGAATCGAAGGACAAGGAGGGCTGATCGGTAACGAAAATCGATAACGAAATAATATACAAATTACTTCACTCCGGATCCACGATGACGTCGTCTTGGAAACGGAGTCAAGGGATTATACAAAGAAGATTTTTCGTGGCGGTGGTGATCGAAAACAGTCCCTTTCTCTTATGCTTTTTCTTTATCTCGTTTATTGATATGTTCATTAATCTATGATAAAGACACGAAACTTGAAATAAGCATTCGCGAGACGCGCGCGCGAGATACTCGCCCTCTTCGACTATTCGCTTCGAGAGAACGATCGCTCGTGTCTCCTCCTTTCGTCCCTTCCTTCCTTCTTTTGCTCCTTACTCTTTCGCACACTTATTTATTCTCTTTCTCTGTCGACTTGTTTCCCTCACCCCCTATCCCTTTCCTTTGTCCGTCAAGTTCTCCTCCTCCGTCGTTCTTTTCTCTTCCTTTCGAGTTTCCCCTCTGATCTTTTCTTTCACTCTTTTTATCTATAATCTTTTCTCTCTCTCTCTCTCTCTCTCTCTCTCTCTTTCTTTTTTCCTGTCGTCGCAACGAACGCGTGCCACGTAACCACTTTACGACGTTTTAAAACAAGTACTTCACGGTGCCCGCATAAGGCACGCACTGAGGAAGAACGAGCCAGCGACGCGAGCAACGCGGACTGCAAGTCTCCACTCCTCGTACGAACGTTTCCTCGTACGAACCAATTCAACCGCCGATTCACGCACCTACACACACGCACGCGCAAAGTGCGGAAGAGGAGAAACAGAGAGAGACAAGGGGGAGGGGGAAGAGAGAGAAAGAGTGGGTCCGGTCTGGATCGCAAGAAAAGGAGATCGAAAGCTCGAGGGAGAGAGAGAAATGCGATGAATGGAAGGAGTAGAATGAAGGGAACAAAGGAAACGAGCGAGGGTTGGAACGAAAGAAGGCGAACGATCCGAGACGAACACTTGGATCAAGACAGATCCGAGATCGCTCCGGCAATATCATTGAGCCTCCATCGTTCTTATTTCGAGGTACCTGTCGATTTAAAAAATGTGATCTTCAATAAAATTTAATGTCGATATGCGTTCCTTCCATAACATTGATATCAATTTGTCGAGAAGAAACTTCGGTACAAGCGAATAATAAAAAGAACGCGGGGCAGAGAAGCGAGAGGGAATCAATATAAATTAGGATCTCACTCTCTCTCACTAGAAATCTCACGCCGATCGATCGATCGTGTTTCTTTCATTATGACACTGGAAATTATCCTTATATGTACAATCAATTAAAATTTGAATTATACATTGTTCGACTCCGAATTTAAATAATTGTGAGCATCGTTCAACTCAACTCGATGGAAATAATCATTGATTTTGTTAATGTCGGACACTAATTGTTGAATATCTGATGATTTATTGGAATAATAATAATCGACAATAGAATCGTGTCATCCCGTTTTCCAATCTCCTTTTTGCATGACGAAGATAATAGGAGGAGACGAAATATGATGGAGAGCGAAAAAAAGAGAGAGAAAACAAAGAGAAAATATCGAGATTGAACTGGCCATTTGTCGACAATCGCTGGGCTTATTGTGTTGAACTACAGATAGATATAAACAACTCGCAATGGTCGAATTTAAAGTTCCTAACCACTTACCATGGTTCTGGATGACGTTAAAAGCGAGAAAATATGTATATAAAATAACATTTACAATCGATAGAATGGATTTGTAAAATATGCTGAAAACTTTTTTTCCCCATACATAATCATATCTATATTCAGAAACGAATTGAATCTAATCAAGAATAGTCATATTTAATTCTCCCACATTTAATAACATGGTTTTTTATTAATTTATTAGAAAGAAAACTTGATGAATTGATTTCAAGGAAAGACACACGTACTTAATAAGAGCCTAAAGTTTCTATTATTACTACACATGCAAGCGCGCGCATATCTTATTAATTTTGTTGGAGCAAAACAAAAATTTTTGATATAGTCTACTAGTCTTCTATCAAGTGCAAATGTTATTTTATCGATTTAATGTTTTGCAAGAAATTTTGCATTTTCATATATTTCCTCGCTTCTGATGTCATATTTAAAATTGTAGTGAATCGGCAGGAGCTTTAAATGATTGATATCTATTAAAAAGATAATTGATATCTATTAAAAAAACAGATAATTGATATCTATTAAAAAAGAAATGAAAAAAATATCAAATGAAAAATGTGATATATTATTAATCGAAGAAAAAAAATCAATCTGTCCTTTATTTAAACTAAAGAAAAATCTTCATACATTGTATACATTACAAAAGAGTGAGGTCCAATCGGACACATTGCCGATTAGTCGATTATATTAGTCGAAATAAAAAAATTTTTGATAAGTGGCTCACTAGAAAATTCCTAGATATCGGCTGATGTGAGTGGTGTGTCCAATTGAAAATGTGCGCATCTGGGACGCTCCCTCAGGAATAAATCCTAATGTTTAATAATCACTTTTCGAATTTATATAAAACCGATAGCATTTAAAAAATTTTTTATTTACATTTTTTTATATATAGTACATATAGTACGTATATATAGTTTTATATATAGTACATATAGTACGTATGTATAGTACATATGCAATAAAATTAATAAGCTATGCGCGCGCTTGCATGTGTAGTATTAATAGGAACTTTAGGTTCTTATTAAGTACGTGTGTCTTTCCTTGAAAAAAATTCATCAAGTTTTCTTTCTAATAAATCGGCATCTAACCGGTGTTTGCACAAATACTGACCTTCTAAAAAGAGAACTGGTATATCATATCTATATAATTTAAAATATTGTTCGTTTTCCTGTGCAGTAATATCGACTTCTTCTAATTGATAACGACCGGTAAAATGTGAACGCAATTCGTTCTTTAAAACATCACAAAGCGGACACGGAATCTTTGTGTATAATGTTAATCTGGGTGAAGAAGATATCGGCTTACACCTAAAAATCATATAACATGCTTCCTCTTTTAAGAAATCTTTTTTGCGTTTAATGTAAAAATTAATAAAATTAAACTGTCATTATAAAAAGATTTACTTTTATTTATTAAAATATATAACGCGATGGGATATACTTTGTATAATAAAATAGAAAAAATGTACAGTAAAAAAATACACTTTTATTATACTTCCCCGCATTCATTTGGAAGTTATTTTTTTATATGTACATGTATATATTGCAGAAAAATGTAAAATACTAATGTATACAATAATAATCTTATTTATACAAATAATAAAAACTATAAAGCTATCCAGCTATTTGGAATATCGCATACAGTTTTATAGTATAAAAAATAATCACTTTTTATATATAATTCATATTATCAATGATAAACATATATTCCGGTTCATGCAAATTGAAATAACAGTCTTGATGATTTGAAAACTTACAATTTTTCAATGAGGATTGATGATGCACCGCCACCTCCATTGCAAATTGATGCAACACCTTTTTCTCCAGCTTTAAGAGCGTGTACTAAGTGTACTATGATACGTGCTCCTGACATGCTACAAGATTCATATTAATTTCACAAATATCTAAATATTTACATGCAAAGTGTTTAAGAACTAAAAATATACAAGACAGACGCATTCGGTCATGGATCTTGTATAATAATAATAATAATTTTTTGAATTTATATATACGTATATATAAACTTAATAGATTTGTATAATAATAATGTATATACACATAATATATACACATATATTATACTTATATAATAATTTTTAATAAATTAAATTCTTTTTTTAATAATAAATTTATACGCGCGCGCGTGTATTTATGTTATATACATATATGTAATTATAATATTTGCAAAATTAAATTTGAAAAGAAATAATTAAGAAAAAAATCTTAGTTATATTATATTAAACATTTAGAAATACAATTGTGCACGAAGAAATTAAATTAATCCAAATTAATCTATCCTTATAAAAATGCAAATAATTTTTCCTAAATTAAAATGTGGAAATATTGCAACACGAAATATTACACATTCAACATATAACAAAATTTTAATTTAAAAAGTCCGATAATAATAACGTGCAATTCATAGGACTAAAAAATTTACATATAAATATTTATTAAGCATCAAGATTCAGTTTTCGATCATTTTTGGCGCTTACTTAATCGTGTTATATAATTACTATATCTGTCAATTTTATTATATTTCTCTCATAATACTTTTATCAGATAATATGATTCTACGATTAATATTTACTCATATATTGAATAAATAAAAAAATTTATCGTAATGTGATCTATTGATATTATATTTGATGAATTTGATACAAATTTGATTATAAATTTCTCGTAGAAATTTGTCGTTTAAATTCATGTTATGGTGTATATGCAAGTTTAGTAATTAATAGTAATTATATAAATTATAGTCGTTCATTGCGCATGAGCGAGGACAGTGATCCTCATCCTGAACTTAATCACGCGTTCCTAAACTTATTAAAAAAAAAAAAGTGTTGCAACTTCATTATCCACGAGTGTATATATATATATATAGTATTTGGCTTTGCTTCGAACATATCGTTATCTGATTTGACAATATTTAAATGTACTAAGATATTTAAAATGGAATGTATCCAAATAACTCACCCTATGGGATGTCCAAGCGAAACAGCACCACCGTGAACATTTATTTTTGCAGGATCAATATCGAGCATTTTTTGATTTGCCACAACCACTACGCTGAAGGCTTCATTGATTTCCCAAAGAGCTATATCGTTTTTATTAACTCCAGCTTTAAAAAGCAGCTAGACACATAAATAAAAGCTTAATAGCATATTATTCCTACTTAAAAAAAACTTTCAATCATCTGTCAACTTACTGTTGGTACAGCAAGAGCCGGTGCGATTGGAAAATCGACCGGATCTGTTGCTGCATCCTGAAAAGCAACAACTCTTGCCAAAGGTTTAAGATTAAGTTTTTGAGCAACATCGGTAGTCGTCAAAATTAAAGCCGCAGCACCATCATTCAGAGTGGATGCATTTCCAGCTGTCACCGTACCATTTTCTTTCTGCAAGTAAAAATATATACAGAGAAAATGTACATAGTATTAAATACTAAAAAGAAATATTTTAGTCAAGTTATTACTTTACTTGGAAAACTGTGCTCAATTTGCTAAACTTTTCAAAATTGACTCTTTTATATTCCTCATCCTCAGTGAAATTTATATCTGTTTTGCCCTTTTTTTGAGGCACACTGATGGGTACAAGTTCATCTTTATATACATTATTTTCATAAGCCATTGCACTACGTTTATAACTGCTGATAGCATATTCATCTTGTTGCTGGCGAGTAATGTTAAGTTTCTTAGCCGTGATTTCGGCACATATACCCATGTGACAATTATTATAGACATCAGTTAATCCATCGAATACAATACCATCCTATTAAATTTTTCAATATTAATTATTTATGTAAATATAAATATAGATATATATTACTATATTTAAAGAATAAGCTAATAAGAAATAAAGAGAATATAATTCAACCTGAAGTTTTACTTCACCATATGGCGTGTTACCACGTGCTAAATAATATGGTACATTAGACATGGATTCCATACCACCAGCTAAAATAATTTCTTGATGACCACATTGCAGAGATTGAGAAGCCAACATGATACTTTTCATGCCACTTGCGCAGACTTTGTTCACTGTTGTACATATTGTTGATTTTGGAAAACCTAAAAGTACATTAATCTTATTAATATTCTATATGTTGGAAAACTCAAATAAATTCTATAACAATTTGCAATAAATATATATACATATATATCAATTATTAAAAAAATATATTTTCAAGACCTGCGAATAATGCAACTTGTCTTGCTGGTGCTTGACCCAAGAAAGCTTGACAGACATTGCCCATATAAATTTCTTTAATTTGATCTTTGGCAATACCAGCTCTTTCAACAGCTGCCTAAAGAAAAAAAATACAATCATTAGTCATAATTTAAAATATACATAATTTAAAAAATTAAATATAAACATTAATAATACATGTCTATGTCCTTACTTGCGCAACTACTGCACCAAGTTTAGTAGCTGACATGCTTGACAGAGACCCAAGAAATGAACCCATTGGAGTACGTACAGCACTAATTATTACAATAT